TGTTTGTTTGTTTTGGTTTTTTTTGAGACTGAGTCTCGCTCTGTCACCCAGGCTGGAGTGCAGTGGCACAATCTCAACTCACTGCAACCTCCATCTCCCAGGTTCAAGTGATTCTCCTGCCTCAGACTCCCCAGTAGCTGGGACTACAGGTGCGTGCCACCATGCCCAGCTAATTTTTTGTATTTTTTTTTTTAGTAGAGACAGGGTTTCACCTTGTTAGCCAGGCTGGTCTCGATCTCCTGACCTCATGATCCACACACCTTGGTTTGCTGGGATTACATGCGTGAGCCACTGTGCCCAGTCAACACGTTTTTATAGAATACAGTAATTCTAAAATTTTAGCTGTATCAAAATCACCTGGAGAGCTTATTAAAGCACATTGCTGGATCTTAACCACTAGAGTTTTAGAATTATAAGGTCTGGAGAGGGCCCAAGATTTTGTATTTTGTAATTTAAAAAAAAAATTGTTTTTTCAGCTTCCAATTCTCTGGTTGAAGATTTTGTGTTTTGAGTAACTCCCCTGGAGATGCTGATGCTACTGGTCTGAAGACCACACTTTGAGAACCACTGCTCTAACACTTTCTCCAAGTGTGAGTAAAGCAGCCCTGATTCTCTTGACTCTTCTTAATCAACCATTCTATCCTATCATGGCTATAACAATGGAGGCACGTTCACAGGCAGAAAAGTAAAGATTATTTGAAAGGTCAGAGAATACAATGAAGTGATCCTTTCTTTTCTTTCTTTTTTTTTTTGAGATGGAAGTATCCCTCTTGTCTCCCAGGCTGGAGTGCAATGGTGCCATCTCGGCTCACTGCAACCTCCACCTATCGGGGTTCAAGTGATTCTCCTGCCTCAGCCTCCTGAATAGCTGGGATTACAGAAGCACACCACCACGCCTGGTTAATTTTTTTTGTACTTTTTAGTAGAGATGGGGTTTCACCATATTGGCCAGGCTGGTCTCAAACTCCTGACCTCAGGTGATCCGTCCACCTCGGCCCTCCAAAGTGCTTCAATTACAGGCATGAGCCACTGTGCCCAGCCGAGGTGATCTTTCTTCACACCCAAAACAGGGTCTAAAGAAAAGTGGGTCTAATTTTGATTTCCATAACCTAAGGCTCTTAAGAAGAGATAGGTAACATATTAAGAAAAACAGGACTCATGGAGAGGATAGAAGATCTATTTATCCTAAAGAGGTTCAGGCCAAGAGAAACCAATCAATTCCTTTTCAAGTACGTAAATACTACAAAGGATGTATCTGTGTCTCTACTTCCTAAGGTCTGTCATCATTTCTAAAATGGGGATAATCATTTCTACTTTGCTTATCTAAAATGTAAGCTGAGATAATAAGATAATGTGAGAGGGTTTTGAAAACTACATATTGATATACGAGTCTAAAATATTAATATTTCTATTCTTTCAAATTAAATGTTCTTAACCTATATTCCATGGATGTCTAGAACCTCCTACAACAGTATGCAAAATTTTGTATTTTTAATATCCTGGGGAGAGAGCCCATAGTTTTCATCAGTTTTTCAAATGGCTTTCTGTTTTAGGCACCAATCCTGACCTAGAGTTATAGTCAAGCTACCTCTACCACCATTTATCAGATACTTTGGAGGTTTTTGTCTCTACTTCCAAGTAGATATGGTTCAGATATTCCTCAAAACACCTCTCTCTTCCAAGCCAAATCAGTGGCTTGAACTAACTCTTTACCAATGAAAAGGATTACTTCTAGCCAAAAGAATATCGGGCAGCAAGCTGGCTGGGTACTCAAGAAAGTCAATCAACCAGATTTCCTATGGAAAAGTACAGAGAGCTGGAGTGGGAGGAGGAGGAAATATTAAAATGTAGAAACATAAAAAAAGTTATTGCTGATCTCCATGCATGTTAGTCGAGGTTAGTACCAGAAGGGACTAAAGATCTCTTAGGGGAAGTAAAACACATTAATAAAGACAATCTTTAAAAGGATGTGTTCCCCAACCTTTCAGCAGTAAAGCTGTCTGAACAAGGCTAAGAAAATCTTTCACATGAAAACAGCTGAGGAGCAGAGGCGCCAGGAGAATTTTTCCAGTGATTGGTGGAACGTAACCTTGAAAGTCTACCTTGTCAGTTCTTGAGATTGGGGTTCTTCAGGCTTCATCTTGGCTTATTTCCCTGCTGGGAATCAGAGATGTGAGTACTGTCAGCTGTTATATGTAGTGTGAGTCCTATTCTCTGAGGGATATGAAGTCCCTTTTTGCTGGTGATTTTTAATAAAAGGGAGATGTTGTAATATACCTTCTCTGCTAAATTTTTCTCCTGAAAGAAGATTTGAGAGGCTTCTCATATTTCTTTTGGTGGCAGGGATAGTTTCAGCGGAAATTTCATTACACTAATATGTAAATGGGAACATGAGTAAGACACTTGTTAAAACTTTAACTTGAAACTTTGGCCCAACATGGGAGCTGGAGCAAGGGTTTTTTTCTTAGGGATTAAAAGACACTTTAACATTTCACAAGCGAGGTTTGGAAATCTATAGGCAATACACTGGAGGGTGCTCAGAGGTTAGCTTTCTTGGCTAAGTGGCTATCAGTAGCAGCCTAAATGAAGTACTTTCAGACCAAGTCAGGAGTCAATGACTTACGTGGTATCTGAAAGAAAGCCTCAAAAGTCTTTGCTAAGGAAAAGCTAGCAAATGAGACAATCGTGTTATTGAAGACTAGCCCCTCCCTATTCCTTTTTATTGCTGTTCAAAATACTGAGCAAAGGTATTTTCCTGCTATTTAAGAGACGGAGTGGCCAAGAAATTCCTGAGAGTAATACTTTATTAAAACAGAGCAGAGCTGTGCTTTTCTAAATTATTATTTTGTTTGTTTATTTTGAGACGGAGTCTGGCTCTGTCGCCCAGGCTGGAGTGAGATGATAGGATTTCGGCTCACTGCAAGCTCCGCCTCCCGTGTTCACGCCATTCTCCTGCCTCAGCCTCCCGAGTAGCTGGGACTACAGGCACCCGCCACCATGCCCCACTAATTTTTTGTATTTTTAGTAGAGACAGGGTTTCACCGTGTTCGCCAGGATGGTCTCAATCTCCTGCCCTTGTGATCTGTCCGCCTCAGATTACAGGCGTGAGCCACTGCGCCCGGCCACAAATGTTTTTATTTACTTATTTATTTATTTATTTATTACCAAGACACAGCACTACAGAGCTGTGTTTTCTTAAAGAGTGTTTTCTAAAAGTTGGGAAGCCTTAGATCATATCCCTTATGCAGTGGTCACACCAACTCCTTTAGGGCAGTTTTCCCTTTCACATAAGTAGAAAGAAGGTAAATAGGGTGAAAGTTCAGTAGGAGCCGCTACTGAACTTTAAGGGGATGTGCTAAGCTTGTAAGACGGTGAGGACTATGACAGAAACAAGAATTACTGTAAAACTTTGATTGATTCTGAGTTGGCACACTAATGTTCAGTAGAATTCTTCTGTAATATTCCTTTATAGAAATACTAAAGTTTGATACCTTAACGTGGCCCTTCCCCTAAGAAAACCAAATTTCTTTGTCCCCCCTTCTTGTTATTAGTGAGTAGCAAGAAATTCAAAAAAACTCAACCCAATCAGAAGTATTAAATAAATCCTTCCATTAATTCTAAAACACTACATTACTTGGAATAAGCTTGTAGATGGATAGGTTTTCTTTCCACAAAATGTTTTAAAATTGAACACAAGGCTGGGCATGGTGGCTCACACCTGTAATCCCAGCACTTTGGGAGGCCAAGTTGAGTGGATCACCTAAGGTCAGGAGTTCAAGACCAGCCTGGCCAACATGGTGAAACCCCGTCTCCACCAAAAATACAAAAATTACCCTGTGTGGTGGTGCACACCTGTAATCCCTGCTGCTCATGAGGCTGAGGCAGGAGAATCACTTGAACCCAGGAAGCGGAGGCTGCAGTGAGCTGAGATCCCGCCACTGTACTCCAGCCTAGACAACAAAGCCAGACTCCATCTCAAAAAAAAAAAAAAAAAAAAAACCCTGAACATAATGTTCTGAAACAACATTAAGAACAGCAATAACCTCTCCCAAAACAATAAACAATAGTTGTAACAATAAGTTGAAATGTAATTTCCTCAGCGGGGCCTTTGTTAGGCCTACTGTATATTCTATCTCATTATCAATAGTTATTTCTTCAAATCCATAATTCTGTAAACACTAAAAAGAACCTGAAATATGTTTTAGAGAGTCTAACTAGTTTTCCATAGTGGGGAAACACAAACCTGTAAACATAAACCTGTATAGGTTGTAAGAAATCAGGCTAAATCTAGAAGAAACTATTTAGAAACATAAAGATGGTTATTGTTTTTAAATTAAAAGTTGAAATTCAATCCAATATAATAGGTTTATATGCTAGTTCTTATGAACAAATAAGTCCTTATTATCCTTATAGTAAAACTACTGATCAGGCAAATATGGTAGTCTGAAGAACTGTACCAAGAGGGCTACAGTTCCTGCCTTAGAGAAATATATATATAAAGGATAGCTGGGGGGAAAATAGGAAAATGTTGTGACTGAAGGGAAAAATACAGGCAGGGAGGGGAGAAATGTTTGAAATCTTCTCAGACTTGAGAGAGCACCATTTCTGTAAGTTCTGTTTTTGTTTTTTTCTCATCATTGTTCTTTTTCTTTACCTCCAGAGAAACAAATGAAGCGTCAGGTTGAAAACAGAAGTGCAAAACAGTCACAGGAAACACAACCCATACATCATACCAGCAGCCGGAGGAAAGCCCCCGCCCACCAGAGACAACCAGGCAACAAGCTGGGGACACGCAACTCTCATACCTTTCCCAGCTTCGCAGATAATTAAGAAACAGCGGTGACCTAGTACCTAGGAACTAATCAGAACTTACAGTAATAACTTTTTCAACCACGGATCTTGGTAGGAGCTTCTTTCAGGTGATCCTTGTCACCCGGCAAAAATAGTTGCCTCTCATTATCAAGAAACAGAAGGAGAAACAAAACGACCAGAGAACTCACCATCCACTCAGGCATGTGAAAAGCTGAGGTGCCCTCATTACCGTCCCACTTCTCCATAGTGCAGGCTTGGGTAAGATATGTCCTGAAGCAAAAGGGAAAGCTGGTTTGGAAATACCGGGGTTATCTGAGTGCCCCAAAGCAGACCCAACCCTAGTGAGATTCAGTTCACAGTGGCTAGAGAAGCTGCATCCCTTTTCACAGCAGCCCCCGATTCAAATCAAGAGCATTAGTCAACTGCCTGACAACCCCTTACTGGCCGGCTTCAAAGCCTCTGTTTCTGATTTCAGAATCAGGGCTGATGCAAAGTGCTGCACCCAGGCACTGTGCCTCTCTTCTCACAGGGCACTCACTGTTTAATACTACCCAAACACTACCCGCACCTCCCCAGTGGGGACTTTCTGCAGCATTAGTTGGACTTCCTTCTTTCCCTGTGTGTGAGGCACTTAGGAATTCTCTCCCACCCTTCAGGACACGTCACTGGAGGTGCGGATACCAAGATCAATAAAGACTGAGGTAAGGAAGGCACTCCCATTTCTCAAGAGTTGCTTGATTTGGATCAGTAAACAGGCGTTTCCTTGAAATCAAGAGCTCCTAGGGCTTTCAAGTTTAAACAGCTATGCAGAAGATCCCCATCTGCTCACACCAGGGGTCTGGCAGCAAAATGTCACATATCTCAAGTTAGTGTCTTATTGCATGGGAAGTTCGGATGGAGCCTAGGAAGATCTTTTTCAAAATCAGAACTTCTTAGACGCTCTAAGAAAGTTCTGGGACGACAGCTCCCTCTGCTGGCTCACTGTGCTACATACACGAAGGCCTCAGGGCTCTCAGCTACAGAGACACAGGTGCTGATTGCAAAGTGGCTTCACGGAGGCTAGTCAGGAGCCCCCACAGTGTAGGTTTAGAGGACAGCCAGGGTTTCCAACCAAGACTAGTGCTGCCTCAAAGTCCCTAACCAACGCTGGATTTTACACACAGGTCTGGTTTCAGGAAGAAACAGGATGCCAGTGCAGTAGCCCTGTACACTATCACCTTAAAGGACCTCCGAAGTTGTTTCTGCTTTATGTCTCCATACCAACTGCCTCCTTGCTGCACACTTCAGAAGTTTGGAAATAAGACATAACTAGAAAAAAGGTAAGCTAGCCTATCTCACCTGCTTAGTTCATTCCTAGAGTATATTATCCAGTAAGAGTACCACAGGTTTCAGGCATGAAGGAAGTCTAACAAGATATGCCTGCTTTGGTCCCTTTAAGGACCAGGACTCTTTACAGTGTTAATTCCCATTGAAGAGGATAGTTTCTCCACAGCTAACAGTGACAATATTATAATTATGATTATAGGTTCTGTGAAAGGAAAACATCTTGGGCCCCCAAAATCACTAAGCCAAAGGGAAAAGTCAAGCTGGAACTGCTTAGGGCAAACCTGCCTCCGATTTTATTCAAAATTGCCCCTCTGCTCACTGAGATAAATGCACATCTGATTGCCTCCTTTGAAGAGGCTAATCAGAAACTCAAAAGAATGCAACCATTTGTCTCTTATCTGCCCATGACCTGGAAGCCCCCTCCCTGCTTCCAGATGTCTTGCCTTTCCAGACTGAACCAGTGTTCATCATACATATGTTGATTGATGTCTCCTGTCCCCCTAAAATGTATAAAACCAAACTGTGCTCTGACCACCTTGGGCACATGTCATTGGGACCTCCTGAGGCTGTGTCTTGAGTGCATATCCTCTAACCTTGGCAAAATAAGCTTTCTAAATTAACCGAGACCTGTCTCAGATGTTCGGAGTTCACAGTTCATTTCCCTGTAGGGCCTTCACTAGTTAAGAGGATGGTCCTTTGGATTTGGAATGGAGGGAAGGAAGGTAATATCTACAGAAGAGGTACTGTAAGATGCCAGAGAGGGCGGAATTCAAATGAATGGCCAGAGGTTTGACTGGAGAGAAAGGCAGGTGAAAACGGGGACTGTTGAACCAGGGTGCATTCAGAGGTATCAAGGGATCACAGGGAGGGTGGAGAGCAGGCGAAATAAGAACAGCAGGGGTAGAAGTAAAGGAAGCTGTGGTCTTAGAGGAGCTATGGAGTGAGGCGATTTGAGCGATGTCAGGACAGAGGGTGATGAGATGCAGGGAAGATAAGGCCCACTGAAGTCAGAGTGTCAACTCTGATAAAGTCTTAGCTCCTACCAACCTCTAGTTATTGTCCTCTGGTCTTCTTTTTAACCCAGAGAACTTCTTAAAATGAGAAGTCACATCTGTTGCCTAAATTGCCAATGGTGTATTTCATCTGTGCTTTTTTTTTTTTTTTTTGAGACGGAGTCTCGCTCTGTTGCCCAGGCTGGAGTGCAGTGGCCAGATCTCAGCTCACTGCAAGCTCTGCCTCCCGGGTTTACACCATTCTTCTGCCTCAGCCTCCCGTAGCTGGGACTACAGGCGCCCGCCACCTCGCCGGGCTAGTTTTTTTTTGTATTTTTTAGTAGAGACGGGGTTTCACTGTGTTAGCCAGGATGGTCTCGATCTCCTGACCTCGTGATCCGCCCATCTCGGCCTCCCAAAGTGCTGGGATTACAGGCTTGAGCCACTGCGCCCGGCCCCATCTGTGCTTTAAACGCAACACGTCTACAATCAAAATTACTGCTCCATCTTTCTCATTCCCCTCCAAACAACACTTCTCCTCACTTTTCTATTTGTGTTTGTGATGCCACTGTCCTCAGGTAACCATATATGAAACCTCAGGCACCTTTGATTTTCCCCTTTTCCTTAGTCCCCAGAACAATCAGTTGGATATTATTTCTGCGCCCTCCTCCACCAAACCTTTCATCTATCCCTTTCTGTTCATTTTCACTCCTCTTAACCCTCTACAAATCCTTTCCCAGAAGACTATCCACTTCATATATATATACACACATATATATGTGTATATATGTGTGTGTATGTATATAATGTGTATTTTTATTCTATCCTCCAGGTAGACTGTATTATCTGCTACTTCTTGAATGTAAACACTACAGTATGGTGACCATGAACAGTGGTTTTGGAATCAGAGTTAGGTTAGAATCCTGCCTCTGCCACTTATTTGACCTCTCTATATAACTCCAATTTCCAATTTGTATGGTGGAAATAATAACAGTCACCTACCTAACAGGACTGATGCAAGGATTTTAAAAGGGTACATACTCTAAGGCGTTAATGTTAGCTCTTAATTATGTTGTTATTATGCTGTGTTCTTTCCCACCTCAATACCTTTGCTCGTGTCATTTTCTCAAATCGAAATGCATTCGTTTCTGCCTTCACTTCCATCATCTTCACTTTTTCAAATGTTTAAAGGAATGATACTTCTACCATGAAACCTGACCTTAAAAAAGGAATCTCCCCTTCATCTAATACTGTTCTTTGGCTATATCACTATTCTCACCATTCCTCAAATTATAGTTCCTATGTATGTGTGTTACCCCTTGTTAGTCTCCATGCTCTTCAGCGGCTTAGCCTACTTTGATTTGCCTACAATACCTGGGATATAGTAGGTGCTTAGCAAATCACCAAATTTAAAATTTCTGTATGCTGTACATGTACTTTATTATACTTTGGGGGCAACTTGCATACTCTATTCAATATGTTTATGTCCATTTTATAGAAGAAGGAACACTGTTTTATATTTATAGGGGCTTAGTTATACTACTGACTATAGCTATATGACTTACTTGACGGTAAGTCCTTAGTAGGGTTTTAGTCCTTAATTATACTATCTCTTCAGGAACATATAATCCACTTTCCATTGCTTGATCTGCACCCATTGTAATCCATTTTGATCTGCATTATAATGAAACTTTTGGAACAAATTAAGGCCAAAGGTCTATTTTATGGCTAGAGTAAAGCCCAACCCTTAGAATATTTCAGTGATAAGAAAATTACTAGATCATATTGATAGTGTAGGCTAGTGTGGTAATAATAACAATAATTTAAAAAGTAAAGGTAAAAGAAGCTGGGCGCAGTGGCTCACGCCTGTAATCCCAGCACTTTGGGAGCCCGAGGCGGGCAGATCGCCTAAAGTCAGGAGATCGAGACCAGCCTGGTCAACGTGTCAAAACCCGGTCTCTACTAAAAACACAAAAATTAGCCAGGTACAGTGTCCCGCGCCTAAAATCCCAGTCACTCAGGAGGCTGAGGCAGGAGAATCACTTGAACTTGGGAGGAAGAGGTTACAGTGAGCCGAGATCGTGCCACTGCACTCCAGCCTGGGTGACAGAGTGAGACTCCATCTCAAAAATAAAACAATTTTTTAAAGTTAAAAAAAAATTTTTTTAAATTAATATTCTATTAATTTTTCTATTAATTTTTAAAAAGAGAAAAAAATTAATATTCTATTCTATTCTATTCTAACGTAACAGGGTCTCACTGTGTCACCCAGGCTGAGGTGCAGTGATATGACCATTGCTTGACTTCCTAGGCTCAAGTGATCCTGCTACCTCAATCTCCCGAGTAGCTGAGACTACAGGTGTGCAACACCACACCCAGCAAATTTTTAAATTTTTTGTAGAGATAGGGGTCTCACTATGTTTCCCAGGCTTGTCTTGAACTCCCAGGAGTTCATCTCAAGTGATCCTCCCACCTTGGCCTCCCAAAGTGCTGGGATTACAGAAATGAGCTACCGTGCCCAGCCTATTTTCTCTATGTAATGATTTATTAAATAAATAGAAGATGACGACCTTCATGGTAGTGTTAAACCATAGAAGAAAATGACTTTTAGAGAAACAAGATTAAAAATAAGAGAATAGGCCAGGCATGGCAGCTCATGCCTGTAATCCCAGCACTTTCGGAGGCCGAGGCGGGTGGATCACCTAAGGCCAGGAGTTTGAGAACAGCCTGGCCAACACGGTGAAACCTGTCTCTACTGAAAATACAAAAATTAGCTGGGCGTGGTGGCGGGTGTCTGTAATCCCAGCTACTCAGGAGGCTGAGGCAGGGAGAATTGCTTGAACCCGGGAGGCAGAGGTTGCGGTGAGTGGACATTGTGCCACTGCTCTCCAGCCTGGGCAACACAGCAAAGACTCCATCTCCAATAAATAAATAAAAGAATAAACACAAGTGAAATATATCACTTTGGCAGGCTAAACTAAGTGTTGTTTTTAGTTATGACTTTTTTTGTTTCCTTACTGTAGGTTTTAACTAAAATAGACTATTTGAACACTGCAACCTCACTACATCTTTCTGCAACAATTCTGAAATGGAAATAAAATAGTAGCTATTACATTTGAGAACTGAAGGCCTATTAACTGACAAGGACTGTGTAAGGCATAAGGAATAGGTATAAGTACTAGTTATAAATTTGTTTCCAATATAATTCCACTTTACCATAATGTGCCTTAGAAGACACACCTATAGCCAGGGCAGGAGTGAGACCACTGCATATGATTATATTACCCTTAACATGTAGGTGAGGAATTGGCAACTTCAAAAGAAAAGTTATGCAAACTGTATCAGCTCCTGCAGCTCTCTGTTGTAGTCAAATTCATAGGACAGAAGG